AGGTTGAGGGAACTGACCACCTCAAATTAAATTCTCGAGGCTGAAGGAGTGATCACCTCATATCTACATCACTACTTATGCTATCTCCTTTGTATGTCAACTGTAGAAGCCTGCTGAGTAGGTGAAACGTCTCTTTAATAAAGATACCAAGCTGTCTCTTACTCCTCTAATCTTGTTAACTGTCATATAAATCAGTAGCCGCACAATCAAACAAAGTTTGATTAAAAACACTCCTTCGGCCTACTGGGAAACTGTGACCCCCCAGCGTTTGGAAAGGTTGTTCTAGGTCCCTGGACCCGCCGCATCTGGGTGTGGAGGGCACGCCTCATGAGCAACCTTCAGTGGCATTTCCCTGAGACTCCCGCCAATCCCCCTTTCCCAACCACCACCAAACCCCTCTTCCTCGGACCCCAGCCCCCCTCCTCTCCTTCAACTAACAACCTCTCCCCCCCCTCCTGCTCATCCCCCTCGCCAACGTCCTTGCAAACGACCTCCCCTCTCAAGGCCATCCAAACCTTTCAGTAACTATTGCTTTGCAACCCATATAGGTTTACCTCTTATTTTTGGATAATAATACATAAAAATAATATTCCCTAGCCTGACTCAACCTGTTTAAAAACTCAATGGCATAAAAGGCCCTAAAATCTGGAACTCCCTGTCTGAAGTTTCTAAAGGTCCCCTATCAGCCAATCGCTTCAATGCTATTGTTAAAAAGCATCTCATCTCAATGTAATCAAGATAGCAATTTGCAAGTCAAACAATACCTATCATCCACATATGTCCCTGTTCTTCTTCCAGTCTTCCTTCAACTCCCATATATAACTGGTAACATACTATCCCATTGGATTTGTACTGTACTTGCTGTAATTTCACCATCTCTATTCAACTATGCCATAAAACTGAAGATCGTTGAACCAGTTTTAATACCAGGAGAGGGTTTCAGGAGTCAATGCCCCCATGGCCCGGTCTGTGACCAGGCCTCAAATGTTTTGTAATAAACCACTTTGTCATTAGCTACCTTTCTTTTCGAACTTATGATTGTACTTATGAGAAGTCCTACATAAAGCTCTGTCTGGTTCTTAAGTAGCTTGTAAACCTTATGATTAGTTGCCAGAAATGCACTGCACAATTAGTAGCTTTCTTTTGTGCCTATGTATCTATGAGCTGTTGGAGTGTGAGCAGGGTAATATTTAGTGAAGGGATTCAGGGAAACCGGTTATTTATATATAGCCGGACTTGAGTACTGGAAATGGGAAGTACAATGCCTGCACTTTAAAGGAGGGGTTTGGGATATTGGCAGTTTGGATGGGTATGTTATATGTATATCTTTCTATATGCTTCTAAACTGTTGTATCTGGGTGCCTCTGCAAAGGCAGTGATTATGTGTGAGTGATGTGAAAGTGTTGAATGATGAAAGTATTTTCTTTTCGGGGATTTTCTTTTTTTTTGGGTCACCCTGCCAAGGTGGGAGACGGCCGACTTGTTGGAAAAAAAAAACTACCCCATATAAATACATTATCAATATGCTCAAAGAAATAAAGCATTATCATTATCATACAAGAGTATGCTGGGTAAAGTGTACTGAATTAATATTGAAAGAGTTAGGAATACAGAAGAACAAGAATTTAGGAAGGGTAGGGGTGTGTAGACTAAGTATTTACAGTGAAGGATAAAAATGAACAATACTTATTTAAAGGTAAGGTATTTTTAGTTGCATTTATGCATTTAGAAACAGCATATAATGGAATGGATAGAGGAACAATGTGGCACATGTTGCAAATGTAAAGAGCTAGTACACAGTAAGAATACTACAAGCAGTAATAAACTTTTATGTGGATAGTGAGACTTAAGTTAGGGTATGTAGGAAACAGAGGTATTATTTTCCAGTAAAAGTAGGCCTTAGACAGAGATGCACGATATCATGGTTTTTTAAAATACAGTATTTATAAATGAGGTTGTAAAAGAGGTGAATGCTAGGTTTTTAGGGAGAAGTGTGGAAGTAAAAGATTTGGGGACCAAGATTATATATGCAAGAAACAGCAGCTCACAGCAGATAAAAACTGCAATAATGTACTCAAATAGCTCAACATTTACTATATAAAGAAATATAAATATTATGACAAAGAACAGGGGCACTGCAAGCAGGCTATATGTTCATAATACAATAATATTTTCAGAAACATTTATGTACTCTTCAACTTAAAATATGAATCAACGCTAGGAAAAAAAAAAGACCCCCAGAAGAAATATAACAAAGAACAAAGTACCACTTATGCCATATAATACTGTGTTCCCATCAAGAAGATGCCAACAGAGGAACATTTAAAAAAAATTACCTACTCCTGAAGTTAATATATGACTTTTCAAAGGCCTGAGTGTGAGGTCTGATACTCTGCTCAGATGAGCTGAATATCTCTCTTAATTTTCAATGCAGTAACTATATTACTTACAAAGTTATAGACTGGGCACTAAAACATCAGTGGAAGAATAGACAGACAGACACAAGCAGATAGATGGACTGCTAACATATTGTAATAATAAAACTGTTTAGTAGCACCAAGTGCACTGGTATATAAGCAGAACATTGCATAAAGAATGTGTTGACAATGATTCAATATACAGTGCAAAGTACACAGTATATAAGACAGTGTACAGTACACAGTATATATTATATAGTATACAGTGGACCCCCGGTATTCGATATTAATCCGTTCCTGAGAGCTCATCGAATACTGATAATATCGAAAACCGAATCAATTTTCCTCATAAGAAATAATGAAAATCAAATTAATCCGTGCAAGACACCCAAAAGTATGAAAAAAAAAATTTTACTACATGAAATATTAAGTTTAATACAATAGAATAATTACAATAACAATAAAATAATTGACACTTACCTTTAATGAAGATCTGGTGATGATTGATGGGATGGAAGGAGGGGAGAGGTGTTAGTGTTTAGAAGGGGAATCCCCTTCCATTAGGACTTGAGGTAGCAAGTCCTTTTCCAGGGTTACTTCCCTTCTTCTTTTAATGCCACTAGGACCAGCTTGAGAGTCACTGGACCTCTGTCGCACAACAAATCTGTCCAAAGAGCTCTGTACCTCCCGTTCCTTTACGATTTGTCTAAAATGGGCCACAACATTGTCATTGTAATAGCTATGTTAGGGTGATTTTCATCCATAAAGGTTTGCACTTCAACCCACTGTGCACACATTTCCTTAATTTTTGAAATAGGCACAATGTATTCCACAACTGGTATAGGCTTCTCAGGGTTAGCCCCAAACCCTTCAAAATCTTTCTTAATTTCCATACTAATTCTCACCCTTTTTACCACAGGGTTGGCACTAGAAGCTTTCTTGGGGCCCATGGTGACTTATTTTGCAGAAACAAGCACCAAACACAGTGATAATATGGATAATATGGAATGTACCGAATGTATCCTTAGATGCGCGCACACTGGCTGGCTTGTAAACACTGGCACACAAGGGGCAGTTCAGGCCACATGTGGACAGGTCTCGTACGAATCGTATCGAATACCGGGTTTTCAATCGAATACCGAGGAAAATTTTTTGCGATATAATGCATCGAATACCGGATTTATCGAATACCGATGCCATCGAATACCGGGGGTCCACTGTACATTAGACAGTACAGTACTGTATATAGTACAGTCAAACCACAGAATTTTTGTGCATCATCACTGAAGGCCATTTCACAGGTAGCTTTGGAAATTCCCATTTTTTCTTGGTGCACATTTTCTTTAATGCTCATTGCATAACAGCTAAACTGAAAATTAACCTTAAGATTTCCGTTAGACCATGTTTATTGTTTCTTATGTATGTCAGAATTAAGCAGATTATAGTGATATTTTTTTTTGAGATTCAGTTATGGACATATAAATATAGAACAAGAATAATTTTAATACAGTGGACCCCCGACTTACGATCAGCTCCCAACTCGTACAATTATGTAAGTGCTTTTTTAAGTGTATTTTTGTGGGTCTGAAACGGACTAATCTAATTTACATTATTCCTTATGGGAGCAAATTCGTTCGGTAACGGCACTCGAACAGCCTTCTGGAACGAATTACGTTCATAAGTCGGGGGTCCACTGTAATGCAGATAAAGGAGGGCCCCACCTATACAGCAGATTACATTCCAGGTTACCACTGTACAGTGAAACATAGCCTTTTTTCACTTTCAAATGCATATAAAAGCCTGATAACATGTTTACACTATCATATATTAAGTGAGCAATAGAGCTAGGCCTAAAAATTTTTTATACAGTACACACGTTACTTACCTCAAAATACTTTCATACTAAGCTTATAGTGAGTGGTGAATATATTTATTGTAGGTTGCCTAAATAAATGAAGAATGGGTATAATTGAAAACCTCTGTACCAGTGAAATGCTGTAAAGTGAGGCCCTCCTGTATGTGAAATTTCCTATTATCTACTGCTTCAGGATTCACATATCTAGGAACACAATCTGTGTGAATTCTGGGATTCAGCTGTACATAGTATACAGTACAGCCAAACCCCCAAAATTCTCAAGATTCATACTTCACAATATTTGATTAGCCAATATTTTTACTAATGAGCAATCCAAGAGCAGATTTTTTTTTTTTTTTTTTACCCTTAGTGAAAGTCCCTTAAATTCAAAACGACAAAATTTTCTTGATAATGTGGTCACTGGCTCTTTAATACCAAAATGTATTTTTTTATTTTGACCAGTCTTATCAAAATGGTCAAAATCATTTTGAGCAACATTTAAAGAGATATGTACTATGAAGCATAAAGTGAACCCCAATCTGTTACAAAATTTATAATGAAGACACAAATTTGTATTGTTCAGAGATTCTAGGTTTGCACAACCTCTAAAAATATTTCCCTGCAAATTTGGGGGTTTGACAGTACAGCACAAGCTTTACTAAAGCTTTCAGCTTGCACAGCCCTGGCTGTTATATTTACATAAAAAAAAAAAAAAGTTTAACACTCACCCTTGAGCTCAGTATTGCTAACTGCATACATGTTAATGGCCATGATCTGTAGCAAATGGTTGGTTGAAAGTCGCGGAGGTGATGAACGCAGTAACACAGAGAACTCCTGTAACATCATTACACAGCACTCACGGAACCCATCCAAACCCACTCGAGAAAACAGCATTCCATGGCAGTGAAGGTAACTGGTAAGGAATCTCTTCATCAACTGTAAAAGCAAACAATAGTGCATACCAGTAAATCTCAAGTTAACATTTATAGCATAAGCATTTCTGAGATTTAATGAAAATAATGAAGTACAATAAAAAATTTATAATCATTTTAGTAAGCAATCACAGCCTCATCATATATTCTTGCTCTTTGGCTTACTCGCCATCAATCTCTTAACCTCCTTGTAGTCTTCAACCTTTTGAGGTCTGCTGTTTGGGGCAAGCATAGGACTTATCACCCTGATGTTTTAGGGAGTGAATGATGCATATCTTTGCATTATATGTTCTTGTTTGAGTGAACAAGTTACTAGGATTATTATGGTTAGAATGGATCATTGCATCCTATTTATGTTTTCTTCCACCTACTCCACCTCTATACAATGCTCTGACAGACTATGTTCCACAACAATTCAGCAGTGGGAGGAAAGGGTAAACAGAAGGGATTTAGACTCTAGCAGCATTCTAGAAATTATGTAGCCTTTACATATTTAAGAATGTCCTCAAAAACAAAAAGTGGTGCATACTCTATACATCTCCACTCAGCTGAAACTGAATCCAGATCCATTACTTGTGAATGAAAGGTGCTACCATGGAGCTACAAGTCACATTTCTGCAGTTCTCAGAAGTGCACTCATGGATTTGAAATTTTCTCTAGGCTACAAAGATATTTCACCTCTCAGTTTAGCTCAATTAAAGTCTTGTTTACCACTAATAGAACACTGCTTTACCATCTGTGGAAGTTTATGCTCCCCAATTTTTTTTAACACATCAGCTGTCTCCACCCCAAGGTAGGGTGGCCCAACAAAGAAGAAAACACTTTTATTGTCACTCATTCAATCACTGGCTTGCAAGAAGGGTACCGACATCACAGTTCAGATAATCCTCCAAACCACAACATCCCCATCCATCCTTCAAAATCTTTAGTGCCATTTAAAACAAGGTTCAGTTCATCTGTGCACTTGATCTTTAGTCCCTCCAGCCATAAACTTGCATCCTTTTCATTTCTTTTTTCTAGTACAGGTACAACACCAATTTTCTGGCAATGGATGGTCTAGCATTTCTTTTAGTCTGGACAAAATTATGAGACTAGTGTTTTGCCAGACTATGTTTTCTGCTTGCCAATCATTGTGTATCACAACTTTGCATTTCTAGTGACTTATACTAATTATTTAGGCATGACTTCTCCCATTTCTTACGACAACTGGACATAAGAGTTATTCAATAGTCATTTACTTACATGTATTATACATCCCTGTATTCTAATAGCCCCTTCATTTTTAACACACCAGCCATATCCCACCAAGGTAGGCAGACCCAATACAGAGGAAACACACTGAATATCATTCATTTAATAGTTGTCTTGTCAGACATGCTATTATTAATAAAGAAAAGCTGACAGACAATCCTTTAAAAATATTACAACCAAGCATGAGCATAAATAAGCTGCACTGTCAATACCTGTTCAAGTGGAAGTTTCTTGAGTTCATTTTCTTCATCATTGCCGTCCCCATCGGTCGAGTGTGACAGAGTGCGACGATGTGTGGCACCACTGTCTGGTCGGATCCAAATTTCTTGTCTCAGTCCTTCGCCACTGTGAGCTCGTCCCATGTGTGTTCGCATACCCTCAGGATGGGGTTCATTATTCTGTGCTGATACATACTGTAAAGAAATTATAAACTGTATCAAATATTAGAATGAGAAAAATATTCAATTACTGTACCCTATACATTAAATGACAAAGGCAGCTAGTCCAAATGGCAAACTACACTACTTCAGAAAGTAGGATATAAATAGCTGAAGGATCGAGCATCTACCACTTCTTGCACTGAATGACCCACATGGGTTTAGTGCTTCATGAAATACAATTCAGATGAGCAGCACAAACAAAATTATGAGTGACAGTTTTTCTAGTATGGTTTTAAACATGCTATTCTACTGTGTAAAGAATTTAATTGGTCTTTAGAGAAAAAATGAAGACAGAAAACTTAACCAGGCTCTCTTAATTATGTCTTCTATATAAGTGTATGTACATACAGTATTTAATTCTTAATGTACTCATCCTTCTGTATAACAGAAAGATGAATACATTAAAAAGGTAGTTACAAGTATGCTTGATTTTTCTTTTTAATCTCAAATTCCTTCATGTTTATTTTACAAGCTAATATACGTACATACATGCCATCTATTCCGGCTCTTTTTAAAGCCTGGCCCTACAATATCTTATGGTATATGGTATACTATTTCCCCAGGATGTGACCCACAACACTCACCTAACACAGTCATATATATTTCCCTGCCCATGATTCTAACCCAGGACTTCTTGGTTATGATCAAAATGCAATGACTTCTGAGCTACTGTTGAGAAGTTAAAAAAGTACTGAAGAATGAACTAGTGTGATAGAACATCATATAAATAACAATAATCATTCTCATTATTCAAGAACAACAGCTAGTATTCCAGATCTTTCCTGCTCGAATAGTCACCTTTTTTCTTATATCATCAAACATGGAAACGAGGGAGTCACGTGCTGACATGAAGGGGTTAGAAGCAGTCAGTGACCGAATATAATAATACACAACATCCAGGAGCCGTTTCTGTAAAAATATAAAACACTGTAATTGTAAAACCCTGCCTCGGTGGGAGACGACCGACTTGTTGAAAAAAAAAAAAAAAAAATTGTAAAACTAAAAATCATAACAGTAGTATTCATAACAACACCCTACTATGACTTAACTGTGCATCTCACACTACAGCATTCCTTACCCGACTTCTATGTAGCACTGTACCAACAGTACTGTATTTTGAAGGCAAAAATACTTGTAGAAAGACTAAGCTTCTCGCAGGAATTATAGTACCCAATTATAATGATAGTACTGTACAATACTATAATAGGAACAGTATTTTCAAAGCAGTACTGTATTGATAATATTATTGGGAAGATACAATATGACCAAAAAATGCAAAACATTAAGATGCACTAGCAGTCATTATTAGTTTTAATACTGAAATTACAAATTATTAAATTCCACACTGTAGTTCTTAACTTTCATAATTGCTGACTTTGAGATTTACTTCAAATACTTGGTAATGGTTTTCCTCCTCACCTTAAGCAGATTTCCTGTATACAAATTTACATATATGTAGCAACCCTATTTCTACTAGGAATTCATCATATGCAGTAACACTTTACTCTTATGCGATTTGAATGAGTGGTCGCTGCTTTTATGTGATCATCCAAGTCCAGCTCCACTTGATTTTTTAATAATCTCTCTTTAAATATCCCTCTAAATTGGTTTATACCGACATTCATAAGAAAGGGTATTAGATACTGAGCATATAATATTTCATTCAGATTTTTAGTTATATGTCCAGTACCTAGATATGTCCAGTCTAGATTTCACTGTACCTACAACATTTTTAATCCATAAAAATATGTATATTATTATTATTATTATTATTATTATTATTATTATTATTATTAGTATTATTATTATTTTTATTATTACTGTTATTGTTATAGAAAGGATATTATTAATTTTCTATTATAATTGAAAAATCATAGATTTTTATCAATTTACAGTACAAATACAGCAGAGATAAATATATATAGTGGAAATTAATATATAAAGCTTAAAATATAAACTAAACTTTTTCTCTATTACTGCACTTTTTCTCTATTACTAGCTCTTCACCAGTAGCTACAAAATGGTAAAAAAATATATGTAGGTAATCGCACAGTACATTTAGCTGCCCACTACTGCCACTCTTGGCAAACTCCTTATACATTTTTTTTAGCACACCAGCTGTCTCTCACCAAGGTAGGGAGACAAAAAAAAGAAGAAACACTTTTGGCACCTCTTATGACATGTATGGCTTACAGGAGGAGGATTCTTTTTCCACTTCCCCATGGCATCCTTTATGCATACTGCATCAGTTTTATTTACATGTGAATAATTCATTATTAGCTATAATTAATCTGATAGGGTATTTATTAATAATTAGAAAAAAATCGTAATCCACAACATTAACTTTGATACACTATAAAGAACTTTTGAAGATTCTAGACTATAGTGCACAGCAATGTTGGAAGCCAAAATTTAATAGAGCTAACAATACTATGAACAAAAAAGAGAAAAGTTTATTGAAATATATGTTAATCATTAGTACAAAAATTACACAAAAAGATAAGAAACGTAACACAACTTAATGTAAATAATTTTTAATAAGAATGTCAGAAATTAAAATTAAAAAGGTAGTGTACTTGAACTGCAGCTTAGTTATATAGAACAGTACAAGTAAAATTTACGTTCCAGTAATGAGCTGCAATGTACAGCATTGTGCAGTGTTACCAATGGTAGTTAAAATACATACTGAAAATTCCATAAGCCAGAAATTGTTCGGCCTCAAGTGTTGCAGACTACAGAGGCTGTACTCTAATAAGGTGTACTCTTTATTAATATATCTCATCAATATATGTTTAAAGAGAAGTGCTAAAATGACTACAGTACTGCACTACTCAATTAAGCTTATAAACTATGTTTAACAATAAATTAATTGATTCTTTCTAACCATCTCTTTCTACATTTAAAAAGTACATTACGATATGTACAGTATAATGCATATAGGAGTTCAAATGAATTTCCAAAAAAACAGTCTAGTGAATCACATGAAATAATATCACTTATTTGCTGATGGCTATGAGGGTCTCACTAAAAATAATAAGCAAATGACATAATAAATGAAATAAAAATAGAATACAGGAGGCCTCGCATATACAGCAGGTTATAAGTGTTTATCCCTCTAATTATGAAGTAGCCTTCATTATTCTTACCTGATTTACTGCAATAATTGCTAACTGGTTGAAGGGCCGTCCATTCCTCGGGTGCACTTGAAGAGCCATATGATACCACCTATATAATAATGACAAGTAATTTTCATGCATATAAAAATAAAAAATATATTTAAGAATGGACTGAATTGGCTTTGGTGACTTTTTAATTATCAAAATTAACAAAACTGCTTTGAGCTAAAAACTGTTATACAGCTGAGTCCCCAGCTTTGTAATTTCCGAGCTTTACTGAAGGGCATTTTATGAATGGCTTCAATTATTTATGAGGTTGCAATGGTGCCCTCATCTTATCTGGCTTGGTGCACAACCTCCAAACTCAAAATAAATTGTCACATAAAAATGAACTCAATGGTTTTCCCCACACCCAAATCTCCTCTTGTTTGGATATTCTCTATGAATGTTAATATTAATCATATTAGACCAATGTTTAATGAGATACGGCCTCTGAAACTCGAAATGGGCCAAAAGCTGAAACAAGATACACCTACCATCCGACTTACGACCGAGTTCGGTTCCGAGAAACTGGTCGTAAGTCAAAATGGACGCAAGTCAAACTTTACTACTGAATATCAACATCACATTTTTGTAATGACTTTATTTTATTGTTTTATTTTGGTATTTCATGTTTTACTTTACTTTTTATGCTGTTAGTACTGTATTTTATACTGTAAGGTTTAGGATAAACACTGTGTACAACACAAATAGTTGTTTATTTCCCAGAAATTTGGCATAAAAAACACGGTCGTAAGTCAAGTGGTCGCATGTCGAGCGGGTCGTAAGTCGGATGGTAGGTTTATATTATGCGGAAATAATTTAGTATCAGAGCATTCACAATCTCCAGATTCATGGAGTCTCTAGAAACATAATCCATGTGAATATGAGAGCTTGACTGTAATTATTTATTTTTATATTAAAAAATTTAAATCCTATCTTGGTAATGCAAATTAAAATAAGCACCTATGGGTAAACTCATACTTTTCCAAAATATAAGCTACAGTACATATATTTATGATAATACTGTAGTAAACTTAAACAGTACAGTACCCTATATATGTACAGTGTTATACAGCATTCTCAAATTAATTTCTAGTCTTTAATTAAACACTCTCTACAGATATCAATATATGAAAACAAGGAAATTTCTTTCACGACTTACTTCTTTGCGAGACTGAAGTTCGGAGTAGAACTGTACTGCTCTCTGTATCGTGCAAGATCTCCAAGTGAGAGAAGTAACTTTTGTGCTGACATCAAGGCCATCCTCACTCTACCCCGAATTTCAGTGTTGGATGTACCTTCATCCTCCAAGTGATCCTCTAGAGTAAAGCCATATTCTCTCTGCAAAGCTTCCAGCAAATCTTGGAGGTAGCGCTGGCCTTCATCCACTAGCATTAGGAGTGTAGAGAGGCTTCGATCCTTCAATGTTGGATCTCTACTAATGTATTCTCTCAACTTTTCAATGATAACGTAATACAGTGTCTTCCACAAGCTGCCTTCCACATTTTTTTCTTGACACATACGGATATCAGAAGTCAGGAGTTGTTTGTAGCATCCCTGCAAATGATGGCGGATATCCATTATGCGGCGAAATTCCACTGGAAGCTGATTGCTACTGACATAATAATTTATGTCCATTTCACCCTTCTGAATATTATAAATGAGGCTAGGATCAATCTTCGGACTACGGCCTTCAATTGCATACTCACTGACTTGACTGCTCTCCATGAGTAGAGACCCAGAGGAATTGTCCCCAAAACCTCTGCTTCCCTCACGGTGGGGATCTCGAGGTGCTGGCAAATCTCGAGAGCTGGGAACAACCAGCACAGGTTTACTTGGATTATTTGGATTGTATAAATGTTTCTGCAACTGTGGCAATGAAGCAGTCATCTGAGGAGAAACAGCAGGTTCTGGGCCAGAAAAATCAGTACCAGGCACTGTGGCTGACAACTGAATGAGACCCCCTCTCCGACTTGGACTCTCCACCCTCCTCTGTTGGTCTTCGCTCTCAGAATGTGGTTTGTCCCTCCTGCTCTTCCATGATGATTTTTCATCTTCCCAAGTGGGTAATCTAGTCCCACCTACATGCTGGTTACACCATGTCATGTCTCTGTCCACCTCATCTATCCAATCATCATCTGGCACATCAATGAAAGTCATAGGATCTGCTTCTTCCTGCTCCATGTCAAATGCCCCAGGATTGCATTTTTCCTCTGGTACATGAATGACCCCAGCAGTCTTTCCATAGCCTCCTGATTTGAGTTTCTGACTAAAACTCTGTTTCTGTGAAAATGAGGGCACTTCATCTTGATTTTTGCTGAATACTCCTTGTGCAGTCTGCAATCGATTTTCAAATTCCTCTGTATCCGATTCACTAATCTGTCGTACGTGAACAGTTCTTTCATGGCTGTTTTTATTAACATTCGCTTCAATTTTAAGTTCTTCTCGCCGGTTGCAGTGAGTGATACCCTGATTAAGTGATTTATTCCCTCTATTCCTTCTGTGCTCTCTAACATTTGAATAGCTCTTTACTTTGGGGGACTTTTCACTGATTTCTGGTGTAGCAACATTAGATATGGTACACATGGATTCTGTTTTACTTCCTATTTGTGTTTTATCAGGTTCTAAATTTACTGTTGAATATTTATCCTCAATCTGAGTACCTTTAGTGAAACCTCCTTGAAGATCTTTTCCATCAGTTAAACTGTTATGCCATCCTCTCCCTTTTCTTCTTGCACTTCCCATTTTCCTTGGCATTTTTCCAATAGCCAATTCATCAACTTTAGCAGCCAGTTCACTTACTTTACTTTCATCTTTATTCTGATATTTTTCACCAGACTGGCAGTACCCAGAGTCCAACTTAGTTGGAGATTTTAAAGCTGAACTATCAAACTCTTTATTAATATGTTCATTCTTAGAATAACTGGATTTCTTTCCTTTATGAGTCTCCTTTTTTGAATACTGACAGTCATAGTTTCCACCATAAATTCTATCATTCTTATATGTTCCAGCTTGAGTCCTCTCCTTATTGTGCTGCTTAGCTACTCCAGTTTTACCTTCATTTTCTCTTGATTTAAAAGACATTCTATTATCCACATTCTTATTACACCATGTGTCTGTTTTTACTTTTGAATTATCAAGCTCACTTATTCCATCCCTGTTACTGGGTGGTCTGTCATAAACTGTTTTATTCCCTCTTTCAGCTGTCCTTTTATGTGAATTATTTTCACCTTCCTTTGCATCCTCATTTTCTCTCATCCAGACAGCACTTTTGTCTCTTGATCTTTCATTATGGTCAAAATAATATTTCTTATTCAAGTGACTGCCTGCTACTTCTCCTTGAGCTTTGTCTCCTACTGATTTATCATAGTCAAAGGGACTAGCTTTTATGTCTGATGACCCTTCTGAAGACCTTCTTACATCTTTCTTGTGGGAAGTTTTTTCAGGGGCATTGTAATTCTTTCTACTCAAATGCTTTTCTGGTCCAACTTTTGCATTATTTTCCCTCAACTTCCAATTTAATTCTTTTTCACTTTTCTCAATTTTTGCAGTGTCAGATAAAGTAATGTTTTCTTTCTTAGAAAGTATATCAGGAAAGTTGGACACATTTTTCTCTGCTGAAGACTTTGTTTCTTGTTTTTTTGTAGGTTTCTCAAACATTTCTTTTATATTTTTCTGGCTATCATTTCTGACATTCTGTATATATTTTACATCTTTCTGGCTATCACTTCCCACTTTCTTGAGAGCAGAAATATTTTTATCTGAAATTTGTTGCTCATTAAGCCTTCTCACTTCAGTTACATTTGCCAATTTTTGTTGCTCTTTATGGGATAAAAACCCAGATTTTTCTTTGTCGCTCATATGGTGTTCATGAATGTGCGTTTCCTTTGAAGACTGGTTGTCCCCTCGATATTCCTTGCTACTGTCAGCATTAACCTCAATATACAATTCTCTTCCCTTTCTATAAGATTTATCTACATTCTTACATTTTAGTGCCTTGTCTCCAACTCTCTCTTCCTTCTCCTTTTCCTGTGATGATCTCTGTCTGGCTTTTGAAGAAGTTTTATTTGCACTGTCTTGCCTCTGTACATTATCTTTAACATCTTTCTTAGAGAACTCTGGCTTTGTTACATTTGGCTCATGTACTCCTTGGACTGGCTGATCATTTGATGCACTAAAACGCTTTTGTCGAAGGGCTCCGGGTCGATATATCTGAATTTCTGGCTTCTTGCACTTCCGTATTCTTCCAGTCCCTGAAGAATCTTCTTGTGCCATTGTAATTTTGCCTTCTGGAATACCAACAGCATCAACACATTCAACTTTTGGTACACTCATTTTTCTCGGCCTAGAAAAAATTTGATAAGATAAGCAGTGACAGAACATAAAGAAGCATTATCTTCATAAGCAAAAATTACTAAGAACTATACTACCAATCAGTAGCACTAGTTTCACACATAAAAAGAATAAAATAACTTACTCAGTAGCACCAGTTTCACACATAAAAGAATATAATAACTTACTGAGTTTATGGAAACATAATAACTACAGAACCCAAGCCAACACAGCTTTAGAAAAGGAGAATCCTGTCTCTCACACATGTTAGACCATTACAAAAAATTTAAGAGACAATGGATGGAAAAAAATGTAAATGCAATTTGAAGATTTTGCAAAGGCATCTGACAAATGTGCCCAAGTAGCTTATGAAATGAGATCTAAAGGTATAACAGTCAGTGGAAGAAAGTAATTATCCAATTTTCTACCAAATAGCTAACATAAATTCAGTTAGAGCAGTTTCACTAGGTACTATCCTGGCACCATTACCGTTTCTCATCCTCATAGCAGTTACAGTATGAACAAGAACATAAACCACAGTTTCATGTCTTCTTTTGCAATTATCAAAATAAGCCTGAAAATTACCTCATTAGATGACAATGAAAACATAGTCAGAAAGAGTAACGAACTCGAAACTATTACAAAATATAAAATGTAGTCAAATCTGGTCAAAAACAGAGGAACAGGGGGCAAAAGATTAAGGAATACCATATTCATGTTGGACTACCCAACCTTTAGATAGCACAGTAAAGCAAATGTAGCTGAGACCAGGAAAATAATGTTAACTATGAGAATTTTTAAAGCAATAGAACTATTATCATTACAATCATGGGATGTGGAGAGGTAAACCCAAAGAGGTCATACAATCCCTGGGAGAATGGGATATAATCAAGTTTGATCAAAGGAGAGGTCAGATGCAATTCCTTGGATTATGAGCCCTGACTCTGCCAGAAGGCATAGGAAAAGAGATGGTAGAGGTGAAAGAGATAATAGAAGTGAAAGATGGTAGAAGTGAAAGAGATGGCGGAGGTGAAAGAAATGGTATTGGAGAAAGAGATGCCAAAGATAGAAAGGTGGTGCTTATTGCAGGTCATATCAGACAGCTAAGTCATAATGTTTGCATGGAAAGTGGGATCATCAAAGATACATATAAAGTGTATGTTATAGTGCCAGCTGTACTGGTATACTTCAACACGTAATTCATGATACCTGCATTTCAAATACTGACCCCCAAAATTTACAGCTCTAAATTCTAGTCGCAAACCTTGCAATATACATCAACATAACACTACATATACTCTAAAATAATTATCATCCTTATACTAAAAATAAGTGCTTAAATATGGCCAAACAGACCCCCTAACATAAAACTTTGCCAAATATATCTACTTTTATTAACTAAATCATTAAAAACCAACATAATTTACATCACGCATCCAAATGTATACACTGAAGTGTATATATTATCTTTTTTTTTAATAAATACAGCGTTACAGTTTATAGTGATGACAGTAATAAGTTTCAAGCAACCTCAACTCATCATTATCACCTACCTATAATGAGTTAATACAACAAATAAGCTGACCACAGATGAGATATGTTTTACAGAATAACCCAGTGTTTGTTTACCTCTAAAATGTAGACATTGTTTAACAAATAAATTTATTAAAAGCTGTTTATATTTAACGTTTTATATGTCTATGAATATAGCTGTAGCGTTATAATGCATTTAGAGTTTACATATACCATAAATAATTTTTTATAGCAATTAGCAATTGAAATAAGTTTGCAAAAGACTCGGTAATAGTAAGGAGTATTATTTTTTTTATTTTATTTATCTGTCATGCAAAATACTGAATAAATAATTTTCTTCGAGAAGTACTACGACGATAGAAAAATTTGACAGTAACATTCAAAGTTGCCATGATGAGAGGAAGGCCAGGAGGAATGAGCTGTTTGAACCCTGTGGACCACATCCTATTTTGCTGGGCACTTGGTCAGTGGATGAATTACAGCAATTGAAGTTAAATCAAGTTGATAAAATTGCTCACAAAGTGTCCAGAATATCTTGCTGCCAATTTTGTCAAGGCTGGAACCAAAGCAGTCATAGTACTAGGGGGAGAGAACGCAATTTTGTAGTACCCACAGTCAGTGGCCAGGCTTTAAACACCTTTTATTGTACAGCAATAAAAGAATGGAACAGACTACTTGCACGTGTCAAAGCCAGTTAGAGCATGAACCAGTTCAGGAAGAGAGCCATAATGTGCCTGATGAATGTAGCGACAGAGAGGGAGGAGAGTTTATTTATTTATTTATTATTATATTTGGACATGATACATAGATACATAGTTGTACAGAATGTTTTTTTTTTTGGCTAACACATGTAAATGTAGATAACTTTTTACCTTATTCTTAGTATATCTCCTTTGTTGTATAATAAGAAATTATCTCCTTCATAGTATAATAATAAGGTATTAAAAGAACCCCAATGGAAATAAGTCACCTTGTCTCAGGTTCTCTACACATGCTGCTATGTATGATAATCTATGTAACTGTATTTGTGTATATCTGAATAAACTTAATGGGTTTACTTTTAGCCAGCTCCATTTATCCGCTCTGCAGATAATTCTCTAACGGTTTTTGGTGGGAAGCCGGTAATATAATAATATCTTTAAGTAAGTAAGTAAGTTTATTCAGGTATACACAAATACAGCTACATAGAATTATCATACATAGCAGCATATGTGTAGAGAACCCAGGATAACCCAAAAAAGTCAGACTGAGTGACTTATTTCCATTGGGGTCCTTTTACCTTATTATTATAATATTTTCTTATTATTCTACAATGAAGATAACATCTTATTATCATATTAAAAAGACTATCTGCTACACGAGGGTCATTAAGACTATCTACAATACGAGGGTCATTACTAGGAACAAGGTAAAATTTACACGTATGTTAGCTAAAAAAATAGAAAATCATTCCCCTCCCTTTCTGTAGCTACATTCATCAGACACCTTTTGGCAGTCTTCTTGAACTGGTTCATGCTATGACTGGCTTTGACATGTGCGGGCAGTCTGTTCCATTCATTTATTGCTGTACAATAAAAGGTGTTTGAAGCCTGGCCACTGACTTTGGGTACTACAAAGTTGTGCTCTCTCCTCCTAGTACTATGATTGCTTTGGTTCCCAACCTTGACAAAATTGACAGCAAGATATTCTGGACACTGTTTGTGAGCAACTGAAGCTAAACATGATTTAGCTTCAGTTGTTTTACTGTCTTCAACATTCAGCATATCCAACTGCTGTAATTCATCCTGGCCTACATGTTCTCTTGGTCCCAGCCCCAGGATGAATCTTACGATTTTGTTCTGGGTGATTTGCAGTCTATCTTTCAGTTTTTTGTCAAGGCAGAGTACCATGAAGAGCAAGCGTAATCCATATGGCATTGTATAAGTACATGTACAAGGTATACAGTCCTAACTGACATCAATGACATACTACTATATAGAAAGCTGCTTGTTTTGCAGAGCATGTCTGGCAAATTAGGTCAATTTTGGCCCTGGATGCGACCCACATCAGTTGACTAACACCCAGGTACCTATTTTACTGATGAGTTAGGTTAGATAAGGTCCGTCAGAAAACAGGACAAGTGTTTCTTGACGTGGGTCTTAGATGATGACCCGCCGTTGGAGCTTTTGGTTATCTGACCGAGACCTTCCGCTGGCTTACTGGTCCACCACTTTAAAAATTATCGTCATAGTTATAACCATTTTATATACTGATGGGTATATAAAATGGTTATAACATAGTTACAACAGTTGTAAGGAAACACGCCCAGTGTTTCAACCGTTGCCGGGAATCGAACCCGTGCCTTCAGCGTAGGTGTAAGTTTATTCAGGTATACATAAATACAGTTACATAGATTATCATACATAGCAGCATATGTGTAGAGAACCTAGGATAACCCAAAAAAGTCAAAGTGACTTATTTCCATTGGAGTTGGGGTATGGGAGTCTCGCTCTGCTGGGGCTTAACAAGGGGGTCCACCAGATCTACTTGGAAACTTCAAAGTTTCTATTTTCATTTACAAATGAACTTTCATTCCTTTTCTTTCATGGTCAGCTTTGGGCAACATATCTTGCCCTCGGGAAGTCGGGCTCGATACAACGTAAGCTGTCAGTCGCCCTTTTAAATCCAACGAAAAAAAAAAAAGTTTGAACCCGCCAAGGAATATTTATATTGTCTCCTCTCTGCTAGCAACTGTATTGGTAATATTCCACCATGTGTTATATAGTAGCTTGGTGACATAGCAGAGCTTATGTGGGAAGCACCGCGGGCACCTTAAATGACTTATGGGGTTTATTAAGAGTAGTGAAGAAGGCCTTCCACTTCAGAAATATAATGGTAGAAATGTTTTTATTTAGGCTTTGGGTAAGGTAGTTTTAAAACTTTATTTGCAGTGCCCATCAAGCAGGTTCCTTGGTGCAGATGAGGGGTACTTGATCTATGGAATTGGATCTGTGCTCCCATTCCTTGGATCGAACCTGAATGCCTCCCATACCCCCAGGCGCTGTATGACCTCTACGGGTTTAATCCTTCCCCCATCAATGTAATAATTTTTTTGTTATGGTTTAAAGGTGCACAGATGTTATGGACATATAAAGGTACATTATATGCATTGAACCATGGGTAACTCAGTAATTTCAGACCCCAGTGGAAATAAGTACAAGGACCTCAATAGAAATGTCACTTTGACTTTCTCTGGGTTATTTATTTATTTTTTATTTATTTATTTAGGTAACACTATCTATGATAATTGTACTTATGTGTACCTGTTCCTAAATAACCTTACATTTAGGATTTTAACCCAAGGAATTGAACCTTCCATTTCCTTGGATCTAACCTGATCCTTGAGGTTAAGGGATAGATCACCTCATCTTTTTGCCACTGCTTCTGCTGTCTCCAATATTTAGTCATCTCTGTATTTGACCGAAGAACCTGGCAGAGCAAATTGCTTTCACCAATAAAGATACCCAAAAGTCAAGGACCCTGATGGAAATAAGTCAGTCTGACTTTTTTTTGGGTTATTCTAGGTTCTCTACACTCATACTGTGTACGATAATGTAACTGTATTTGTGTATACTGTACTTGAAAAAACTTACTTAATTACTTATGTTGCACATATCTTATTCTTCTACATGTGAGTAAGCTTATTTAGGCACAGGTATACATACGAACAATTTTAAATAGTGTAAATTACCTAGGATAACCCAAACAAAAGGTCATTGGCTTATTTTCATTGGGGTCCTTGCCAGTATGGAACCTGATTGCCCCCCCCCCCATTCCTCAGGTGCTACATGTATAACCCCTTATGGGTTGTGCTTTCCTGTGATAATTCATAAGAGAAAAATTTGATTGAATTTTTAACCTGGAGGGTTAGCCAACCAGGATAACCAAGTACATTATGCAGAATTTAACCTAGGATAATTCATTCAAATCAAGCAATGTGACTTACTTCCAACGGGGTACAGTATATTGGTATGTATCAGTGTATGCCCATTAATTTTATGACATACAATATAATGTCCTTACACAGTTATATTTGTCAGCAATAATTATAATTCTATAATTAAATTATTGCAGGTTCAATAATGGGGGATGCATTACTTGCTACAGCTGGAGACTCGGTTAAACTCTGGCACTCGCAAAACTATACTTTGTGCCAAGAAATTGCTTCAGAAAATGGTGAGTTCATAAAGTTATCTAGGTGACAGGTTCAGTGGCTTGCTAAATTATAACCATGAGTTATCCAACAACATAATGTAAGTTTCAGTTAGGATAAGCCAACTTTGGTTATACAGCCTCCTCACTTAATAACAGAGTTCTGTTCCTAAGACCACGTCAATAAACGAATTCATCCCAAAGTGAGGAGCATACTATAATGGTAGTGGGTTTGTGTCAACCATCTCTGATATTGTTTTAATGTCACTTTTGCACCATTTATAACATTTCTGCTATATTTTTAAATGTTTCTACAGTAGTGTACTGTATATTGTAATAAACAGAATAGAGGAAATCAGCTTTTTATATACATTATTTAGGTATGCATACTGGTCAGAAGGCCTGTCGTAAGTACGAGTCATCAGTAAACGAGTACATCGCTAAGTGAGGAGAGGCTGTATTATATTAGTGTATTTCGATAGATTTATCATCAACAAACCAGTAGGAAAATACCAGAGACTTCTGACTGATCTGTCTCTCTGGGGCATCAGATCACTGACATCCACTTATTATGTCAGCTACAGATGTACAATATCCAGGTGTTTTGCCTGTGTTTTTGAATAAATGCACTTAGGTTAGGCACTGTTATTTCCTGTAAACCATATACTATAACTAGCAAGTAGTTGACCAATTATGCCCAGAAATTTGCCATAAGTTATACCCATAGTTGTATGAGAGTAACATACTGTACAAAGAAAGCTGAAAAATAAATATTCAGCATTGCGATACTGGTCTGTTATTGTCTTGATGTTCAGTGTCTCCAGTGCCATGTGAACTCAACTCTCAAAGAAATCAGCTCTTGTTTTGAAAAGAGGTAATTCACAAAATGTTAAAAACTACTTTTTAGTTTAGCTTTTCCCATAACGTACAGTGTACTGTATATACTTTGTAGGTAGAAAGTGCAATTGAAGGTGTATGAATAGAACTCATATGCTGTACCAGTGTCATGTACAAATACGTACATGTAAAAGGATTTCTTTCATTTTTGTGTGCCTATCTAGAAGTACCGTGCACTTGGGTAAGGCTGGTGGCCCTTGCACTTGTGCAAGAATGTTGTTTTGTGCTTCATTGATAGTATATTATAACTGTTAGGTTAAGAGATCCTTTGATTTTCAGGCCGTATTAGGGAAATGACTTGGAATCAGGATGGCCAATGCCTGGCAAGTTTGGGAGAAACAGGAAAAGAAATTTTGTTGTCAGCTGTTAATGCCAAGTCAGCTGCAAACATAGGAGTTGTACGAGGAATTGTAAGTTTGAAAAGAAATTTTTTATTCAAAACTGAAAGGATTGAAATACTTTTGTAGCATTTTAATAGAAGTCTAATTAAAAAAAAAAACACAGATTAACTCTTTCACTGTTCAGAACCCTCAAAAGCAATATTGCTCTGTGTTCACATTAAAAAAAATGTTCTTCTGAAATGATAGAGAATCTTTTTCTAAAGGTAATGACACCAAAAGTATGTAATTTGATGGAAAACTTACCCATCCTTATGAAAATCAGCAAAAACCAAAATATTTCTGCTATCTTACATCTTGAAACCATTCAAAATCATCTCTATTTCAGTAGTATATCTTCATTTCTATCAGATGATACCAAGAAACAGCCAATAAAAAGATAATCATCCTAGAAAGCACCTCAGTCACTATTGTAAACCAAACACAGTCAGAGTTTTGTTTTTCCATCATGCACCACATGGGGGCACAATTTTTTTTTTATAATGTGCACATTGGCCATGCAGATGCCTTCTCTCATATCTGAGCAAAAGTACACATACTACTTACAGCTTATCTGAGGGAGCAGAGTTCATGATATAGAATTACGTGACCTGCCCTGGCCTCAGTGACGTAGCTCTACCTGACTGCCATTGAAAGGGTTAAAAAAGTGGACACTGGGAGCAATATTAATTTCAGGGGTCTGGACAGTGAGAGAGTTAAAACTGTATGGGTCCCTCCTCAACCAGTTCACTCTCCGGATTATAACACTTCCTGACAACTTTAAGGCTTAAGAAATAGTTCTTAACATCCTTAAGACTCATCTGAGTTTTTGTCTTCCAGTTGTGCCCTCTTGTTCCTGTTTGCCATCTCTGAAACATTGGCCCTGTTCATTTTGTAATTGTGTGCATGTATGCATGTGTTTGTGCATGGTATTTTTTTTTAGTTATTAATTTTTATTTTATTTATTATAGGGAATTGCCTCTAGAACTAACATTTTTGTTGAGTGCTTTATTCACTACTGATTATAACCCTTTTTCAGGATGCACCAAGTTGCATAGAATTTGCAAGTCGGTCCCCTCAGTATTTGGGCGTTGGAAATCACAGTAGTGTGACTATATGGAATGTGAAGTCACAAGCACAGTTAAAAATGTATTCAGTAAGTTTGAATCCATGTTCTGTGAGGTCATAAGCAAGTAAGCATGTTAACAAAATGACATATAATGAAGTACATATATCTTTTTTAAGCTTTATATAACACAAGTACAGTGATCTGCTATATGGAAGTCTTGTACAGTAACAGTATTGTCACTTGTATTTTGGCAGGTAAATAAAGCATTTCAAACCAGAAGAAATTTTCATAGTTTTACTGAATAATTTTTTTTATATAAACATGTGCATAAAATTCTAGGTAGTAGGTTGGTAGACAACAACTGCCCAGGGAGGTACTACCGTCCTGCCAAGTGAGTGTAAAACGGAAGCCTGTAATTGTTTTACATGATGGTAGGATTGCTGGTGTCTTTTTTTCTGTCTCATAAACATGCAAGATTTCAGGTATGTCTTGCTACTTCTACTTACACTTAGGTCACACTACACATACATGTACAAGCATATATATACACACCCCTTGGGTTTTCTTCTATTTTCTTTCTAGTTCTTGTTCTTGTTTATTTCCTCTTACCTCCATGGGGAAGTGGAACAGAATTCTTCCTCCGTAAGCCATGCGTGTTGTAAGAGGCGACTAAAATGCCGGGAGCAAGGAGCTAGTAACCTCTTCTCCTGTATATATTACTAAATGTAAAAGGAGAAACTTTCGTTTTTCCCTTTGGGCCACCCCGCCTCGGTGGGATACGGCCGGTGTGTTGAAAGAAAGAATGAAAGAAACATGCAAGATTTCAGGTACGTCTTGCTACTTCTACTTACACTTAGGTCACACTACACATACATGTACAAGCATATATATACATACCCCTCTGAGTTTTCTTCTATTTTCTTTCTAGTTCTTGTTCTTGTTTATTTCCTCTTATCTCCATGGGGAAGTGGAACAGAATTCTTCCTCCGTAAGCCACGCGTGTTGTAAGAGGTGACTAAAATGCCGGGAGCAAGGGGCTAGTAACCCCTTCTCCCGTATAAATTACTAAATTTAAAAAGAGAAACTTTCGTTTTTCTTTTTGGGCCACTCTGCCTTGGTGGGATATGGCTGGTTTGTTGAAAAAAAAAATGTGCATAAAATAGGTAGTAGGTTGGTAGACAGCAACCACTCAGGGAGGTACTACCGTCCTGCCAAGTGAGTGTAAAACGGAAGCCTGTAATTGTTTTACACGATGGTAGGATTGCTGGTGTCTTTTTTTTTCTGTCTCATACAAATGCAAGATTTCAGGTACATTTTGCTACTTCTACTTACACTTAGGTCACACTACACATACATGTACAAGCATATATATACACACCCCTATGAGTTTTCTTCTATTTTCTTTCTAGTTTTTGTTCTTGTTTATTTCCTCCTATCTCCACGGAAAAGTGGAACAGAATTCTTCCTCCATAAGCCATGTGTGTCGTAAGAGGCGACTAAAATGACAAAAGCAAGGGGCTAGTAACCCCTTCTCCTGTATATATTACTAAATGTAAAAGGAGAAACTTTTGTTTTTCCTTTTGGGCCTCCCCGCCTCGGTGGGATACGGCCGGTGTGTTGAAAGAAAGAGAGATGTGCTTAAACTATTGTACACTGAAGGACTTTTTTAATTTCTCAACTGCAGTACATCTAGGGCCTGTGGGATGAATGACTAAAAAAGAAGACTGAAAAATTTAGTGATTCATCAAAATTGCCAATAACAAACAAAACAAAAAAAAAAAAATAGGCAAATGTTTATATACCATACTGCAATTTCTTCCCCACCCCTACACCTGCGTGAGTTTCTTATGAAAATTCTTCTTTCAAGTCCAGTATCCTATCCATTTCACTTCATTATGGCATAACAAAAAATTGTAACCTGTTGTGCTCTACAACCTCTTTGTCCATATTTCTGATTTCCTCTGCTATTCCACAATTCTTTATATTGCATATTTCTTCTGATCCACTAATACCCTATGCACTTCCTATGCTTCCAGGTCCCAGATAGTAATATAGCACATATCAGCTTTAGTCACAATGATTCTCACATAACAGCTGCTACAAAAAAAGGCTCAATCTTCTTGCTGTCTGTTGTGAACAACTCCAGGGCTGGGCCATTTAAGATATTTGATAATCAGGTATGTATAATAAGTTTACACTAACATATATTAAGTTAGCAATAGAACTAGGCATTAAAAACAATAAAATGTAAAATATACACACAGGTACACCCATTACTTACCTTAAAATATTTGTAGTCTTAATGTATGGTGAGAGGTGAGTGTATATATTTTTTTTTCTATTAAATGTTTTAAGGTATCTTAGTCTGCATTTGACACCCATTCATACAATATACAGTAGCATATGAGGCATTATGAGACAAAAGAATAAGCATCAAATTCAAATAAAGAAGAAATGAAGGCATGGGGGGGGGGAGATCAGAGCCATGAAACTTGAGTAACTGTACTTTATGGTGTCCACACATTCTCAGGAACAGACTAAACATTAAGGAATAGATTTGTTCACTTATTTTCTGCAGTCATTGCCTCATATTTAACCATAGAATTGATGAAGGAAAAAAGGTGAGTGGTGCATTGAGGTATCTGTGGAGACAAAAAATACTATGCATGGAGGCAAAGGAGAGAATGTACGAAAGTACAGTGGTGTACCTCGAGTTTCGAACAGCTCTTAACTCGAACAATTATGTAAGTGTATTTTTGTAAGTGCTTTTGTAAGTGTATTTTTGGGGGTCTGAAATGGACTAATTTAATTTACATTTTTCCTCATGGGAACAAATTCGTTCGATATCAGCACTCAAACAGCCCTATGGAACGAATTAAGTTCGTAACTCAAAGTACCACTGTATAGTGGTACCAACACTTATATGGGTGTGAAGCTTGGGTTGCAAATGATGCAGCAAGGAGGCAGCTGGAGGCAGTGGAGATGTCCTGTCTAAGGGCAATGTGTGGTGTAAATATTATGTAGTCAGAGGGCTGCAGAGGGGTTGTTGAGGTGGTTTGGTCATATAGAGAGAATGGATCAAAGTAGAATGACTTGGAGAGCATATAAATCTGTAGGGAAAGGAAGGTGGGGTAGGGGTCATCCTTGAAAAGGTTGGAGGGAGGGGGTAAAGGAGGTTTTGTGGACAAGGGGCTGCTTGGACTTCCAGCAAGCATGTGTGAGCGTGTTAGGGGTGAATGGAGACGAATGGTTTTTGGGACCTGACGAGCCTCGGTGAAGGGATTCAGGGAAACCAGTTATTTTTATATAGCCGGACTTGAGTACTGGAAACAGGAAGTACAATGCCTGCATTTTAAAGGAGGGGTTTGGGATATTGGCAGTTTGGAGGGGTATGTTATATATCTTTATATATGCTTCTGAACTGTTGTATATGGGTGCCTCTGCAAAGATAGTGATTATGTGTGAGTGATGTGATAGTGTTGAATGTTGATGAAAGTATTTTCTTTTTGGGGATTTTCTTTCTTTTTGGGTCACCCTGCCTCGGTGGGAGACGGCCGACTTGTTGAAAAAAAAAAAATTGCCTCGTATGTAATTTAATATTAAGAAGCAAAAAAAATGACTTGGAGGATGTATAAATCTGTAGTGGAGGGGAGAGGGGTAGGGGTCATTCTAGGAAAGGATGGAGGGAGGGGGTAGAAGAGGTTTTGTGTGCATGGGTCCTGGACATGCAGCAGGCATGTGTGAGCATGTTAGATAGGAATGAATGGAGACAAATGGTTTTTGGGACTTGACAAGCTATTGGAGTGTGAGCAGGGTAATTTTTTGTGAAGGGATTCTGGGGAACCGCTTAGCCAGACTTGAGTCCTGGAGATGGGAAGTACAGTGCCTGCACTTTAAAGGAGGGGTTTAGGACATTGGCAGTTTGGAGGGACATCTAAACTGTCGCATCCGAGTGCGTCCGCAAAGTGAGTGATTATATTTGAATGATGGTGAAAGTGTTGAATGATGAAAGTTTTTTCTTTCTTTTTGGGTCACCCTGCCTCGGTGGGAAACAGCTGATGTTTTAAAAAAATTATACGTGGCTTTTCTTGCTTCAACGTAGGTAATTGGTAATGAATTACAGTGGTACCCTGAGTTTCGTACAGCTCCCAACTTGAACAGTTATGTAAGTGCTTTTGTAGGTATATTTTTGGGGGTCTGAAACAGACTGATCTAATTTACATTGTTCCTTATGGCCTGGTGGCTAAAACTCCGCTTCACACACGGAGGGCCCAGGTTCGATTCCCAGCGGGTGGAAACATTTCGACGTGTTTCCTTACCCCTGTTGTTCTGTTCACCTAGCAGCAAATAGGTACCTGGGTGTTAGTCGACTGGTGTGGGTTGCATCCTAGGGGACAAGATTGAGGACACCAATGGAAATTAATTAGGACAGTCCTCGATGACGTACATTGCAGAGTCACTTGTTTGCACAGAACTGCTTAATGCCTCAAATGATGTAGTGGAAGTTTTAGCAGTAAAGGTCGAGAACCAAAACCTAGTCATTGTGGTAGTCTACAAGCCTCTGGATGCAACATCCCAGCAATTCCAGGAACAGCTGTTAAAAATTGACCACTGTCTGGAAAATCTTCCAGCTCCTGCTCCCAACATCTTGCTCCTGGGGGATTTCAACTTAAGGCACCTAAAATGGAGGAATATAGCAAATAATATTGTTGCAGTAATAACACCAGGAGGCAGCTCTGATGAAAACTCACACTCACACGAGCTTTTAAATCTCTGCACAAAATTCAATTTAAACCAGCAAATAATAGAGCCTACTAGACTGGAGAATACACTAGACCTCATCTTCACTAACAATATGATCTGATAAGAAATGTCACCATATCAAAAACAATATACTCAGATCACAACATAATTGAGGTTCAGACATGTATGTGTGGAGCCCCAGACCGACATAATGAGACTAGTCACGAGGGAGCATTCACCAAATTCAACTTCAATAACAAAAACATAAAGTGGGACCAAGTAAACCAAGTCCTAACCGATATAAGCTGGGAAGATATACTAAGCAACACAGACCCCAACTTATGCCTAGAACAGATTAACTCGGTGGCACTCGATGTATGCACAGGGCTTATTCCTCTAAGAAAAAGGAGGAGTAGATGTAAAATAGAAAGAGACAGGCGCTCCCTTTACAGGCGACGGAAAAGAATAACAGAGCGGCTAAAAGAGGTCAATATATCTGAAATGCGTAGGGAGACACTGGTCAGAGAAATACCAAGCATCGAACTTAAGCTAAAAGAATCCTTTAGGAGTCAGGAATCGCGGGAAGAACTAAAAGCCATAAATGAAATCGAAAGAAACCCAAAGTATTTCTTCTCCTATGCCAAATCAAAATCGAGAACAACGTCCAGTATTGGGCCCCTACTTAAACAAGATGGGTCCTACACAGATGACAGCAAGGAAATGAGTGAGCTACTCAAGTCCCAATATGACTCAGTTTTTAGCAAGCCGCTAACCAGACTGAGAGTCGAAGATCAAAATGAATTTTTTATGAGAGAGCCACAAAATTTGATTAACACAAGCCTATCCGATGTTATCCTGACGCCAAATGACTTCGAACAGGCGATAAATGACATGCTCATGCACTCTGCCCCAGGGCCAGACTCGGGGAACTCTGTGTTCATCAAGAACTGCAATAAGCCCCTATCACGAGCCTTTTCCATCCTATGGAGAGGGAGCATGGACACGGGGGTCGTCCCACAGTTACTAAAAACAACAGACATAGCCCCACTCCACAAAGGGGGCAGTAAAGCAACAGCAAAGAACTACAGACCAATAGCACTAACATCCCATATCATAAAAATCTTTGAAAGGGTCCTAAGAAGCAAGTTCACCACCCATCTAGAAACCCATCAGTTACACAACCCAGGGCAACATGGGTTTAGAACAGGTCGCTCCTGTCTGTCTCAACTATTGGATCACTACGACAAGGTCCTAAATGCACTAGAAGACAAAAAGAATGCAGATGTAATATATACAGACTTTGCAAAAGCCTTCGACAAGTGTGACCATGGCGTAATAGCGCACAAAATGCGTGCTAAAGGAATAACAGGAAAAGTCGGTCGATGGATCTATAATTTCCTCACTAACAGAACACAGAGAGTAGTCGTCAACAGAGTAAAGTCCGAGGCAGCTACGGTGAAAAGCTCTGTTCCACAAGGCACAGTACTTGCTCCCATCTTGTTCCTCATCCTCATATCTGACATAGACAAGGATGTCAGCCACAGCACCGTGTCTTCCTTTGCAGATGACACCCGAATCTGCATGACAGTGTCTTCCATTGCAGACACTGCAAGGCTCCAGGCGGACATCAACCAAATCTTTCAGTGGGCTGCAGAAAACAATATGAAGTTCAACGATGAGAAATTTCAATTACTCAGATATGGTAAACATGAGGAAATTAAATCTTCATCAGAGTACAAAACAAATTCTGGCCACAAAATAGAGCGAAACACCAACGTCAAAGACCTGGGAGTGATCATGTCGGAGGATCTCACCTTCAAGGACCATAACATTGTATCAATCGCATCTGCTAGAAAAATGACAGGATGGATAATGAGAACCTTCAAAACTAGGGAGGCCAAGCCCATGATGACACCCTTCAGGTCACTTGTTCTATCTAGGCTGGAATATTGCTGCACACTAACAGCACCTTTCAAGGCAGGTGAAATTGCCGACCTAGAAAATGTACAGAGAACTTTCACGGCGCGCATAACGAGATAAAACACCTCAATTACTGGGAGCGCTTGAGGTTCCTAAACCTGTATTCCCTGGAACGCAGGAGGGAGAGATACATGATTATGTACACCTGGAAAATCCTAGAGGGACTAGTACCGAACTTGCACACGAAAATCACTCACTACGAAAGCAAAAGACTTGGCAGATGATGCACCATCCCCCCAATGAAAAGCAGGGGTGTCACTAGCACGTTAAGAGACCATACAATAAGTGTCAGGGGCCCGAGACTGTTCAACTGCCTCCCAGCACACATAAGGGGGATTACCAACAGACCCCTGGCAGTCTTCAAGCTGGCACTGGACAAGCACCTAAAGTCAGTTCCTGATCAGCCGGGCTGTGGCTCGTACGTTGGTTTGCGTGCAGCCAGCAGCAACAGCCTGGCTGATCAGGCTCTGATCCACCAGGAGGCCTGGTCACAGACCAGGCCGCGGGGGCGTTGACCCCCGGAACTCTCTCCAGGTAAACTCCAGGTACTGACTTTCTTGGGTTATCCTGGGTGGCTAACCCTCTGGGTTAAAAATCCAAAGAAAATCTTATCTTAACAAATTCGCTGATTCATTACCTTTGTAACTTGCCATGATTGTGACCAGATCTACCTAGAGTTCATTACCTTTGTAACTAGTTCAGCTATCATAACTTTGGGTCCAGTCCCTGGACCCATTATGTACCTTTGTAATCTTTTGACTACCGCCCACAGGATGGGTATGGGGTGCATAATAAAGATATTAACTAAACTTAACAAATTCCTTTGGTAACGGCACTCGAACAGCCTTCTGGAACGGATTATGGCCGAAACTCAGGGTACCATTGTACGTAGGAAGAAAATTATTGTGGTTATAATTAATATTTATTTTTATTATGTTTTCACTGAAATGCAAAGAATCCCTTTCATACATATGCTTGAGAATGGAGTGCTCTTAATTCTAAAGTATATTGCTCCGTGCACTATCCCAGTTTTTTCAGACTAATACTGTTCAGACTAATTCCCTGTAATTGAGTAATTTGCAAGAGTTTAGTAAATTATAATATATTTTTTAATATACTAGACATTGATATGATGCCTAGAATAGGTGGTAGTCACCATGATTGAAATATTGGTGTTGAAAGAAAGATAATATTATATGATACTATAACTTTTATCCTGAATATAGCTTCTTTATTCTTTAATTAGTTATAATACATTTGCAGGCTATAACTGATTTGGCTTACAGCCGTGTGAAGAAGTCCCTGTTAGGATGTTGTTCTGAAGGAGGATCAGTTGCCTTGTTTGATTCTCATGCTAACAAGGTTGTCCATGCCTTCAGTTCTGCTCACAGTTCACCAGCTTCTGCCATATTGTTCTCCCCTGTTAATGAACTGTTAATGATGTCAGTTGGTTACGACAAGAAGCTTGCATGTTACAATGTTCAAACAAAACAGTAAGTGACTGCATTTTATAACCTGAACACTTACATATTTTTTGTTAATAATCCTGTCCATTCTAAAACAAAAATGTTCAAACATTTTGAAACACCTGCTCTGATCACAAATATTTTTCCAATGCTAACTTTTAACTTAGTGCCCCATTGCCATTAGAGTATAACTGAAACATTTGCAAAGAATTCTACATTTTTGATGCAACTTCTAATAAGTGTATTGGTGATTCAACCTGTCCTCCAAATATATAAGCCATTTTCACATGCATTACAGTTTGTGGGTTTTTTGCGACTTAAACATCTACAATAATTAAATATTAGTTATTCTAGGTTACATTATATTAACCTAATCTGATTAATATTTTTTTAATGACACTGGCATTCTCCCACCAAGGTAGGGTGACCCAAAAAAGAAACCTTCACCATTGTTCACTCTATCACTGTCTTGCCAGAGATGCACTGATAATACAGTTGTGATGAATGGTTTGAAAAACCGACATATGCTGCATAAGTGTCTCAATCTTCAACTGATAATACAGTTCAGATGCTCCTCCAAACTACAGATATCCCTGCCTCTCCTTCAGAGTGTAGGCATTGTGTTTCCCACCTCCAGGACTCAAGTCTGGCTAACTGGCTTCCTTGAATCCCTCCACAAAATGTTATCTTGCCCTTATTAAAACAGCTCAAGTCCCAAAAACCATTTGCCTCCACTCTTCTCTAACACGCTCACATATGCCTGCAGTATGTCCAAGCCTCTCACACACAAAATCTTCTTTACTCCCTCCCTCCAACCTTTCCTAGGGTGACCTCTACCCTGCCTTCCTTACACTACAAATTTATACACCCTCCAAGTCATCCTATTTTGCTGCTGCTTCTATAAATGTCCAAACCACCTCGACCCTTCCTCAGCTCTCTGTATAATACTTTTACTAACCCTGCACTTCTTCCTAATCTTCAAGTTAAGAATTCTCTGCATAATGTTTACACCACACATTGCCCTCAGACACAACATCTCCACTGCCTCCAGCCTCCTCATCAACACGAAGAACAGATATAGGATCATGATCCTGAGTTGGCATTTTGCTGAATATGAGAAATTTTTTTTTTTTTTTTTTTTTTTTTAACAAACAAACTGGCCGTATCCCACCAAGGTAGGGTGACCTAACAAGAAAAACGAAAGTTTTTTATACAGTGGACCCTCGAGTTAGGAACTTTTTTCATTCCAGACGGCTGGTCAAGTGCTGTTACTGAACGAATTTCCTCTCATCAGGGATAATGTAAAATAGATTACTCTGTATCAGACCCCCGAAAATATACTTACAAAAGCACTTGCAAAAATACACTTATATAATTTGTCATGTTGCGAGTGGTTCTTAATTCGAGGGTCCACTGTATTTAGTAATTTATACAGGAGAAGGGGTTACTAGCCCCATATTTCCGACAATTTAGTCACCTCTAAGACACGCATGGCTTACAGAGGAGGAATTCTTTTCCACCTCCCCATGGAGATCTTTGTAAATATAGAAGAAAAAATTACTTAACACATACATATAGGGCTTGATCAGCATGGTTGGGCTGTGGCTCAGGGCACCTCACTGGATGGGAACAACCTAATATCACTACTACATATTCGTTTACTTTTAATAATCTTTATGGGGAAAAGGGGTTACTAGCCCATTGCTCCTGGCATTTTAGTTGACTTTTACAACACACCTGGCTTACAGAGGAAAGATCCTTATTCCACTTTCCCATGAATATGAAAGGAAAAAATAATAAGAACAAGAACTACTGTATTAAGAAAAAATCAAAGAAACTCAGATGTTTGTGTATACACAAACTTGTACATGCATGTATAGTGTGACCAGGTGTAAGTAAAAGTAGCAGGATATACCTGTTATCTTGTATATTTGAGACAAAAAGACACCGGCACTCCTGCCATCATGTAAATCAAATACAGGCTTGTGTCTTGCACTCTTTTGGCAGGACAGTAGTACCTCTCTGGGTAGTTGCTGTCTGCCAACCTACAACAGGTACACAGCCATTCTGAGAGATCCACCACTGGGGCTCCTGATGGTCACCAGGTCAAGCACTATCTTTCTACTTTTTTTTACTGGTTAACCAGACTTGAGTCCTGGAGGTGGGAAGTACAGTGCCTGTACTTTAAAAGAGGGGCTTGGGGTATCGGCTATATGGAGATGGCAGCTACACTATCATATCTGGGCACCTTTGCAAAGACAGTGATTATGTGTGAATGATGGTAAAAGTGTTTCTGTTTTAGGTCACCCTGCCTCAGTGGGAGATGGATGATGTGTTGAAAATAAAAATCCACTACACTTTTCTTAATTACAGTTTTCCGTTAAAAACAAAAATAGAGATTTGGTGCTGAAATTAGTCTCTGAAATAAACTAGTTCTGATTAACGAGTTCAGACTGTAGTGGAAAGATAGTCACTTTCCTGGAGCTTAAATTGCATACTTGCATAGTGCTAGGTTAGTTAAGTTAAGCACTGTTGGCTGCAGTCAGAAGCAACCTGTATTCAATTTGAATCTGCCATACCATTTATTATCTATAGATTTCAGTATAGGTCATCAATACTGCATTTCAGACCCTTAATGACACATCGAAGTTCTGCACCACTTACTAGTGCAGCCTTCTTAGCAGGCGGTCAGCAAGTAGCTCTGGGTACCATGACAGGACAGGTGTTTATACATGACCTGCGCTCAATTCGCCCACCCATTGCTGTCATCTCGGCACATAATACAGCTGTTACTCGTGTGTTGCTACAGCCTTCATCACGATCTAAGGTCAGTATATGGCATTCTGTTCAAATACTGTTGGTTTAATAATATTGGTAAACTACACATTATAGAAAATATAATCCAGAGTGCAGTACAGCAATTCTAGTAGTAAAAATCCAGAACAAAGACGAAACTTGTAATTCAAGTGCATCCACTTCAAGAACTTTTAGAACTTTAAGAACTTGTAGAACAGAATCTGACAAGATAGATGAGAGGTTGCATAATATACTAAGAGAACCATTAATGTATTAATAAAAGTGACTGAAAATCATTGGAGTCAGGTATTTCAATTGCAAAGTAATAGATTAGGTAGCTAGCTTATGAGGCTGGAACAGTTAACAAATGCTCAGCCAAATTCCTCAATGTAACCCAGGCACTGTATATCCTTACAAGTTTGGTACTTCCGTTATTATAATACAGTAATCCTTCACCATAATTTTGTTTTTACTCACCATCATATTAAAGAATACTGTCTTGACTGGACCCACATGCATGGCATATAAACTTTTTTTTATGTGGAAAATGCCTGATATTAGCAAATTAATATTTTAAATTGTGTGAACATGTTATTAAGAAGTAGGTGATTGAATATACAGTGTGAAGACGAGACTGTTAGTTCAGAGTATAAATGAGCGGTATGTGGGATTTGACCTGCTGTTGAAGTGTAAGGTGATACTGATTCTCTGAATGGCTTCAGGGAAAGAGCACATTTCAGTTCCTGCGCTTTGACTATGGGTTGGGAAAGTTTAGTATTATTTCTTCACCACTGAACCATAATGCATGTCAGCTCCTGAAAAGTAGGCTAGTGTGAGTGAGGATTTTTCTTCTTTTGGTCACTACCTTGATGGAAATAGTGTAAAAAAAAATAACTACTTATTGATTTTTTAAAAACAGTTTGAGAAATATTTATTCTTTCTTCATCCCTTTACATTTGTATACAGTCTGAGGGTTCAGTTAGTGGCCACATCAGGAAGGCTACTCAACAGAAGAACATGGACACTATTGCACCAGCACAGATAAAGCTACTAAAGTAAGTCAAACTCATACAGGTTTGTGGTAAGTTGAGGAGGAGCAATATTTTGACTTTTTATAGTTTATTACAGAGCATGAATGGCTAATATTGATAAAATCAAAACCTGTGCAAATTGAAAGTTTGGAGCATGCATAACCAGGCTTGAATAAGTGCAGTACATTAACTTATGCTAAATAAATATATGTACAAGTTTACTAAATTTAAAAAGAGAAAGTTTGGTTTTTCTTTTTAGGTCGCCCTGCCTCGGTGGGATACGACCAGTTCATTGGAAATAAAAATGACAAGGTGGATAGGGAAGTGATATGGCACACTGCCCAAGTGCATGGAATATGTGGTAGCTTCCAAGAAGCAGTTAGTTTTTATAGGAATGGTGAACCTCATGTTAGAGTATGTAGGAGAGGGAGATTATTTTCCAGTAAAAGTAGACCTTAGGCAGCAATGCGTAATGTCACCATGGTTGTTTAACATTTATAGATGGGGTTGTAAAAGAAGTGAATGTTAGGGTGTTGAGGAGAACTGTGGTATTAAAATATGTTTTTGGGAGATTCTGAATAGGAAGGAGCAAAGGGATGAGAGTAACATATGATTTAGGTAGTGAAAGATAGGAAGTGAACATGTTCCGATATTTGGGAGTGGATTTGTCAGCGAATGGGTATATGAAAGACAAAGTGAACCACAGAATTGATGAGGGGGGGAAAAGTTGGGTGGTGCATTGAGGCATCAACGGAGAAGCGTGCACACACACTCACATTCATACACACCACCACCACTCAGTAACACTTTTCATGACAGAGAGAGCATGGTAATAAAAGTAGTGACTGTATATGCAGGGAAAAAAAAAAAAACCTGTCTTAGTGATGGACATGTACATCCAGGAAAGTAAACAGAGTTAATTCCCATTCAGCTCTCAACTTAATGGAAGGAACAAGATTGTTAAGAAGATCAAGAAAGAGTTGGAAATACTAGTCATGTGGCCAAAGAACAGACATCTACTTAGCGAAGCCAGAGAGAAGGGGAATTCTAAAAATATAATGTTTTTTCAGAATTTTTTTTCATAAATAATGTTGGTATAAGTGCAGTATCAAAGTAAGGTGCAATAGATAAAAAATTTATATATATATATATATATATATATTATATTATATATATATATATATATATACCCTAGGTAGTAGGTTGGTAGACAGCAACCCGCCCAGGGAGGTACTCCGTCCTGCCAAGTGAGTGTAAAACGTAAAGCCTGTAATTGTTTTACATGATGGTAGGATTGCTGGTGTCCTTTTTTTCTGTCTCATGAACATGCAAGATTTCAGGTACGTTTTTTGCTACTTCTACTTACACTTAGGTCACACTACACATACATGTACAAGCAATATATGCACACCCCTCTGGGTTTTCTTCTATTTTCTTTCTATTTCTTATTCTTGTTTATTTCCTCTTATCTCCATGGGGAAGTGGAACAGAATTCTTCCTCCGTAAGCCATGCGTGTTGTAAGAGGCGACTAAAATGCCGGGGGGCAAGGGGCTAGTAACCTCTTTTTCCTGTATATATTACTAAATGTAAAAGGAGAAACTTTCGTTTTTCCTTTTGGGCCCCCCCCGCCTCGGTGGGATACGGCTGGTGTGTTGAAAGAAAGAAGAAAGAATATATATATATATATATTATATATATATATATATATATATATATTCTTTCTTTTTTTCTTCTTTTAACGTACCAGCCGTATCCCACTGATAATATTATATATAATTAAAAATATATAATACACACACACCAACACACACACAACACACACACACACACACACACACACACACACACACACACACACACACACATACATACATACAAATACAACAGTGGACCCCCCGGTTTTAAAGATTTTAAATTTCCCTCAAGAGGGGGAAATTTTTATCGAAATAATCGCTAGTGAATGAATTTTCCCATAAGAAATAATGGGAAAACAAATTAATCCCGGGAAGACCCCAAAAGTAGAAAAAAAAAATTTTACCACATGAATAAAATTTTCCCACACACAAAGTGAAGGATACATGCTCAATAGTAGAGTAGCTACATGCACAGTATATATTGTGCATTTACTAGTTACTAATAAAGAAGAATAATGTGACACTTACCGTGATTGAAGATGCAGCAATGACTGATGAGACACTGTGTCCTTGGGAGTGCCTTTTTCCTCCTGGAGTACTGTATGGTCCTGTTGGCATTTTCTTCCAGAACAGACCTTATCACACTGTGTATGCCACTACGATTCTTACAATCTCTCAAACCAACCTGTGCTGGCTTTAAATTCACAATAGAGCACTAGTTCAGGCATTTTTTACCCTTTTCACCTGGGTGTTAGTCGACTTGTGTGGGATTGATCCTGGGAGACATGATTAAGGACCCCAATGGAAATAAGTTAGACAGTCTTCGATGCCACTGTCTTTTTTGGGTTATCCGGGTGGCAATACTCTGGGTGGTTAATTGTTTCTGGTATTCTCAATGAGCCACCACCAACAACGGTTTGCTACAGCACAGCAGCAGCTGCCAGTGCAGCAGCGCAGCAGCTGTACTCACCATTTGTAGCTATGGTTGATGGGGTTTATTATACAACCTGGCCAGACAGCTCGGAGACATGCACTCCATTTCATACTTGATCAATGATCTTTTTCTTCATCTCTATTGTAATTCTCACACTTATGCTGTAGGGTTGGCACCTAGAAGACTTTCTTGGGGCCCATGGTCACTTATTTTCAGAAAATGCACGAATCACTGTAAAATAATACGGAAATATTCCGATTTGTATGCTTGGATAGTTACCGGGTGGCTCCCGGCCCCCTGGTAAACAATGCCACCGGCGGACATGTGAGCTTGGCTCAGGCCACACATTGGACGATGTCTCGGCGAAATCGGTAGTAGCGGGTTTTTAAGCAGTATGTGAGGCAAAATTTTTGCAATTAAAGTAAGCGGTATGCGAAATAATCGCTATGTGATGCCATCGTTATGCGGGTGTCCACTGTATTCTTTCTTTCAATACACCGGCCGACATCCCACCAACAGGGCGGGTGTGGCCAAAAAAGAACCAAACGAAAGTTCTCTTAAAAATTTAGTATTTTTACGGGGAGAAAGGGTTACTAGCCCCTTGCTCCCGGCATTTTAGTCGCCTCTTACAACACGCATGGCTTACGGAGGAAGAATTCTGTTCCGCTTCCCCATGGAGAATATAAATTATAAATATATATATATATATATTATATATAATATATATATATATATATATATATATTATTTATATATATATAATTATATATACAGTGGACCACCGCTAAACGGACGCCTGATAAAGGACAATCCGCAATAGTCGGACGCTTTGATCGCTAAAATTTTGACCGCATAGTGGACAAAAACCCGCTCGCGGCCTTTGTCCGAGACGTCCAATGTGCGGACTGAGCCACGCTAATGTTCCGGGGTGGCATTGTTACCAGCCAGCCTCCGCGGTAACATCCAAGCATACAATCGAACATTTTGTATTATTTACAATGTTTTTTGGTGATTTTTTTCTGGTGAATAAGTGACAATGGGCACCCATGAAGCTTTCTAGTTGCCAAAACCCTACAGCATAAAGGGTGAGAATTACTATGGAGATGAAGAAAAAGATCCATTGATAAGTATGAAAAGTGGATCGTGGTGTCCTCGAGCCTGGCCAGGTTGTATAAATATACCCCAATCAACCATCGCTACTCTATTGGTGGTACAAGCTGCTGCTGCTGGCCTGTATCACCGTCTAGCCGCTGCTGCACTGTCAGCTGCTGCTGCTGTACCACGGTCAGCGGCTCTGCTGCTGTTAAAGTACCGTTGCTGCTGCTGTTAGATTCTCTGCTGCTGCTGTAGCATCGTTGCTGCTGCTTGTAGCATCGTATGTTGCTGCTGTAGCCTCGTCTTCTGTTGCTGCTGTTCCACCGTCAGATGCTGCTGCTGCTGTAAGCATCGTCTGCTTGCTGATGCTGCTGTTGTAGCATCGTCTGCTGCTGCTGTTGTAATCTTGTCAGTTGCTGCTGTAGCATCGTCTGCTGCTGCTTGTAGCATCGTTTGTTGCTGCTGTAGCATCGTCTGCTGTGCTCGCTGCTGTTGCATGTCTGCTGCTGCTTAACATCGTCAGCTGCTTCTGCTGCTGCTGTAGCACCGTTTGTTGGTGTGGCTTATTGAGAGATTACCAAGAAACTTTACACAAGAGAGATTTGGCCACCCAGGATAGCCAAAAAAGGGTCAGTGTCATCGAAGACTGGCTAACTATTTGCCATTGGGGTCCTTTAATTTTGTTCTCCCAGGATGCAACCCACACCAGTCGACTAACACCCAGGTGAACAGGGAAAATGCCTGGAACTACGTGCTCATATTGGTGAATTTAGAGCAGAAAGGTTGGTTTTGAGAGATTTAAGAATCGTAGCAGTGACATACACAGTTTGATAAGGCCTGTTCTGGGAAGAAAATACCAAACAGGAACCTACAGTTTACTTCAGGAGGAAAGGCACTCCAGACACAGTGTCTCATCAGTCATTGGCTGCATCTTAATAAAGGTAAGTGTCATTTATTCTTCATTTAGTAGAGTTGTACATGACATATATATTGTGCATGTACTACTCTTTCTATTGTGCATTGTTTCCTTCTCTTTGTGTGTTAGGAAAAATGTATATTTCATGTGGTTAAAATTTTTTTTTTTAAACTTTTGGGTGTCTTTGCACGGAATTATTTGATTTCATATTTTCTTATGGAGGAAAAATTCATTCACATAGCGACATTTCGCATAACAGCCAGTCCTCTTGCACGGAATTCAAGCGGTTCCGCTAATGCGGGGGGGTCCCACTGTATATTTATTATATATATATAAAATTATATATATATATATATATATATAATATAATTTATATATATATATTATATTTAATATATATATATCATATATATATATATATTTATACAGTGTTATATATTATAT